CGTTAAAGCCAGAAAATCAAGAGCAAACTCAGATAGGACACAACCCGCGCCGCGCACCACAAAACCAACCTCGGTATAGTGACTACCACGCTTACCAGCTGCCATGACCTCGGGCGTGCATGACTTCTATTGGGTCGATTGCGATCAACCAATCCGCTACTCCTGCCTTTCCTCTTCTACCCCCTAATCTGTATAAATGATTCTTTTGGCCAATCACAACTCAGATAAATCCGTTGCGCTCAAGGTTACAAAATTTGGCATCGCGAATCCGAACGCACGTGAAGCGTACGTGCGTGTGTACAGCACCCTCAGGGTGAGCCATTCTGTGTGCATTCACTATAGACCCGGCAGCTGCGTCGCAAGTTCAACGAGAGCAGCGCCGAACAAATGCCAAAAGAGATAAGGTTCCCGTCCCGTGCTTCGTCGGTTGGTTGAGTACAAAACGTATTACAGTGGAATAGACATAAGGGTCAGAAGGGAGACAGGTAAAGAGATGACCTGATAAAGATGAGATGAGGTGTACGTAACAAGTGCTATTTTTGTTCTCTATCTCCCTTTTGTATGTGATGGTGTTATTGAGCTTAGGTTTGGGGGAAATACAGACAGTTTGGTTTTTATGTCCGAAACTATCACGAATACGTTGCCTTAACACAATAACAGCTAAATAACCAAATCTAATGAAAAGCCGGGAAATCTTATATTCCAGCGTGACCCAAATGACGTGAGTCTAACGATTACCAACTGGGAAGTTCTGGATGTTCCAACGGTTGTCTGGGTGATTACTTCACTTCTTTGACAAGAAAATAAAATAAATCTGGGATGGAACACTCAGTTGCTGTCGTTTTCGACCACTGAATGACTTCCACACCGAACTGCGTGACCATTTGACTGGTGAAAATGAATTCATCCGAAGGAAACTAACCATTTTGCTGACACTCGTGTTCACGTTTCAGTAATTCCGCAAAAACAGTCACCCGCCTGTTGATCGCATGTTTCTCATTATGATGAAGTGCATGTCATGTATATGCTTATGAAACACGAGATAAAGTCCTGCTATACAACATGTTCAAAACCTCTCCTTGATTTTGGTCAAGTACAGAACAGCGCAGTTCATGGTGCATTCGATGCATTATTTTTGCTGTCGAATGCCAAGTCAAGCCGCGAATCGCTTTATTCATCCTTGTGAATAGAGTTTCAGCTCATAATGTTCAAATACGGTTCCTTGCCCTTGTCTGCCACTCTACACCCTCAAACACACCGGGTATGTAGGGAAGTGAATTGTTGATGGTACAAGACAACAAAATCGCATATGCAAACATGTTACCTTGCCTGCGATCGATCGAAGGAGAGTACATGGACAGTCGAACGTTGGTGGAAGACATTGTACTTGTCAATTAGTGTGTGAAAGTCATTGAACAGTAGTTCTATACTTGGTGGGACTAATCAGAAGTGGGTGCTATTTCTGTGTCCTGGACGGAACTCGAAACACGAACGTTCGCGATAGAAGCCAAAACCGTCACTCCTGAACTACACGATTTTTTGAGCTTCATTATCATAACTAAATATATTCTTGCGTTTGAGCCCATGCGAATTCACGACCCCAGGGTTGGTGACGGTAATAGACGGCATGGTATTTTGTACCGGATAAAGCAAATTGCCGCTCCGAGTGAAGACCTGTTAAACAGTTTGAAGTCAACTACTTCGTTTTATTAGGTAACGTGTTGAAATACACAACTGAAAAGTTAAAATATGTATTTGGTTTATTCTCAGCTGTGCAATGAGGCTATTGAAATTTTTACAATCTCAACATCGGGCTTCAATCTGCCAAACAACAATGTGTAGCCGTTCTTCGATCGACAGTTTCACAATGGCAGTCTTCTCTTATTGCCTCTTTGTTTGCCCTCATTTTTCTGATCAACCCTTATATGCTTGTCGTGATAAAAAAAAAATCACGAACCAAAGCCAGTGTGCCAAATACTGGNCTGGTGTTACAAGCAGCAAGACAGGCTCAGTTACCAACCCCACCTCCAACATCAACGTCCATCGGGACCTGGATGCAAAACCACGGGGGGCTGGTCACAACCAACAAGCTTGAGATACTCATCCGCGACTTTATTCCTTATTTACACCTAGTTAGTAAGATATCCAGAAAGAGGTCGATCTTACTCTTCTTCCTGATCGGTCACAATCAAGTGTACTGTCGAAAGTTATTCCATATCACCAAATAATGGCAAACTTGTTCACCAAGACTAGCAACTTTGTGACTTAAAGAGTTTTATTTTTCCATTATCGTTATTATTATTATTATTATTAATAATAATAATAATAATAATGATCGTGAATAAATCACTCCGGCACAATTCGTCAAGGTGGATTCTGTAAAGGGACAAATTCCCTGCCCAAATCATATCTATTTTAAGTTTTTCGTTGCCATTGGTAAAACAGCCTATGCTAGTGACAGTGCATTTCTCACCTTTCACACTGGTCAGAATTCACCTCAGTGTTCAACCCAATCTTTTTAATTCTCTCTCACCGAACGGATCACAGGAAAGTAATCGTGAGCTATTAT